CATCAGTTTCTCCTCATCTGTCATCTGTATTATTTTTCATTACTCCTGTTGTTTTATTTTCTGTAGATTTGTTGTTTTTAAATGTGCTTATAAATGAATTGACTTAGTTTTGCATTATCTATATAGTTCTGTTGCTCGTGTGTGTGGTAGTTTAAGCTGCACCTAGAATGAGATATGCTGCATAAATAAAGTCTTGCTTATTTCCATTTTGCACAGGTTTACATAATTCACACTCACAAATGCTAAACTTAAAGCTCATCATCTGTGCGCTGCAGTCTGTCTGTAACCTGTGCATACAACGGTTTGCTTATTCATATAGGAGTTCATTATTTTCTAAATTAAATTACCTTCTAAAAATACAGGCCAACATACATGGGCCGACCAAAAGCACGACATCAAGAGAAGACACGGTGTGAAGTACTCATCACTCCTTGTCACAACATCAAAGGTGGCGGTGCTTTCATCAGGCCCGCAGGTCTAGCTGGAGCAGGTCATCTCCACATAATACCGGGCCTGCTTTTCTCATGCAGATCATAAGAGGGCCAATTTGTGATTTAGATCAAGTCAGGAGAGATGATGCTGGATTTTCAAAGAGTTAATTTTAACCCCTAAGTAGGTGTTATTTCTTTTTCCCTCCATAATGACAGATAAAAGGGAGGGCTGTCGCAAAACAGAAACAGAAGCACACTGACCAGTGCAGCGAGTATATAGTTACATAAACAAGTTTTTAGACGCACAGCAACAATGTGACAGAACTTCATGGCTTTACGGTATTATAGAAAGTGGCCAAACCTTCTGGGTAAATTATATGTAAAAGCTTTGGACTCTTTACATTATATAGCTTCAGATATTTGCTTTAAAATCAATATTTATCACATTATTGGTTGACCACGATAAACCATGATAAATGAGTCAAACGTGTAAAAAATTACAGTTAGGACCTACAATTCATTGCCAACATTTTAATTTGTAAACAAACAAACTGTGTTCAAACAGTGAACACAGAAACTAGAACTAGGAACGACAGAACTGACACCAGTGTTGTCCATTGTTCCATCATCCCTCACATTCACCCTCCTCCCACCGAGCTCTTTGCCTCTTAAATCTCACGGTTAATGGAGGCTTTAGTCAAGCTTTCCCTAGTCCCTAATAAACTGACGTGGCAATTAAAGGAGCATATTTTTTAAGGCCTATCCCGGTTCCTTTAATTGTCTAGTTGTCTTTGTTGTCAGATGTGATTAACAGGCAGAAAGGGGGAGGTGCTGATTTATCAGCCATCTTGTTCAGCGAAGGAGATCAATCAGGCATCGAGTTAAGAACGCAAGCCTCATTGCTCATGTGCTAAGCACCAGGTAGAGTGACAGAACAGACAGCAATGGAGGCGCACACGATGTGAAGTCACACATTTTTGTAGGCGTTAAAAGACTAAAGGATGAAATGATTCTGCGCAGCGGTTGGACGACTTCATTCAAGATCTGTCGCCGCAACAACTGCCGAACGTCTGTAGACGAAAGCTAAAGATTATGCTTTTGAACTAGTGGGAACTGAGTCATAACACTGAATCATTTTGATAAGTATTCTGAGCTACTACGCTGGGCACGGAGATCTAAGCTGAATAAATAATTCAAAACCGCCAATAGGGTTTCAAACTATTTGTCTCCATTTCAGTCAGTGAATTTTTACATTCCTCTTTGAAAGCAGAGAGAGGCGGAGAGGGAGCAAAATTATCCCCAGCGTTTCAAAGTGAACGCACATCCGACCTGCTTCTTTGTTCGTGGTGTACAAAGCAAATCATTCACTAATGAAACAGCAGTACTGCTGCCTTCCATACATTTAATATAACTCACAACTATAGATTGCTTGCTTTAGTTGTGGAGCAACACCCTAAAGTTTTGAAGGTGGCAGGGATTCGTTTCATCCTACTACCAACAGATTTCCATGCATATGTGATGACACCTGCAAAAACAGCAGATCATTTTCAGTGCACCTGGTGCTGTGCCAAAGAACAGAGTACAGTGAGTTAATGACTGTCACTGCCTATTCCCGAGAACCCCACAACACTAATAAATGAACCACGAGGTCAGTATTCTGCTCATTTGAAGAGGACCCTGGTGCAGAAGAGTAATTCTCAGAGTCTGCCACATATTTCTTTGAAACCACGACCACAAAAAGCAAGACTATGCAAACTCTGTAGGTACAAAAAGGACAACAACTGTTGTTTTATGCCTATAAAATATTTCTGGCTCTATGTTTTTCCTGTGTTCTTGGACTCTGCTGGAAATGCTTTAAAATATTTGGCTTGGCATGAACCTCAGTTCAAAGCTAGGTCATGCTGGCTTTGTAAAGCAAACATAAATATAGTTAAACGACAGTATATAATATATAGTTAATGTGTACCATTTTCTGTGGACACATCCTACTTTGCAACTGCATATTTTTATCCTCAGACTGCACTAGAGTAGTTTTGCATGACTCTCAGGTCAAAATAATCTTTATTTATGGGCCTCGGTGCTGCTATTTCCCTTAAAGACAACTTTCCTCTGATTAGTTTCCCCTCACAAAAGGGTTTGAACAACACACGAGGTGATCTCCCTCCCAGAGCCGTGAAAGTCATAAAGAAAATCCCATGACTGACATCATACAGAAAGACAAATGGGGGGGAAAAAGGAGAGTCTGAGACAGAGTGGTTAGAAAAAGCTCAGTCCGAAGCTTGACCTTTTAACCCACAGGGATTACTTTGTATCTGACTTTGTTATTTGAAGTTTTGCCCATGTTTAATATGACTATACGTGTCAAAAAAGTGAGAAAAAGTATAATGGGTCGAATTTTTTAAAAAACTATTCAATCAAAGTGTTTGTCATTTTGATGTGATTGGGGACATTGTTGAGGCAAGATAGTAGGGTGGTAAAAATAACACTGTGAGAACCAAAAACGCAAAGATCGTGAGAGCTGGGCCCACACCTCAGTCAGTTCTGCAAATTGCAATCAATAGGTGCTGATTTTGCAGGCCTAGTCTGACACAAAAACGTGACATACTCCCTGCACACTAAATGTAGTGGTGACTGAAGGGGTATTTTTAGCTACAGCAGCCAGCAATAAGGGACAGCTGACTCCATGTTTATGTCCACATTTAACCACTGAGATTATTAAACACACAATGAATACTTGTTATACACTAAATGTCTTGTCAGCATTTGGACAATGTCCATAAAGAATTAAAATCAAAGCCCAAACAATCCTTTGCCAAAAAAACAGTCAACAGAAAACACACTAAAGAAGAATTAGAATATCATGAAAAAGGTCTTTTTTTGTACTTGGTGCTAATTAAGCACATGAAGCCACAATCAAAAGAAAGGCTGTTGATTTGAAAGCTGTCCAGATGACAGTCATCACAGCCTGCCTCCTCCTCAAGGAGGGTAAGACGCTGAAAAGGCTGGATGTTCACAGAGTACAGCATAGAAGCACACTAAAAAAGGCGTTGATGGCAAAGGAACAATCTGGTAGGACAAACTGAATCTTTGCCTTTTGTCCCGTCTTCCTCCCATCACCCTCCGACTGGTCCAGTTGTCAGTGTTGCGATTGGCATTTGGG